GGATAGTCCAATGGAGAAATGAAGGAGAGGTAGGCTGACTACCAGGGAGAAAGATATGTTAAATAGAACACGCAAGAGTTTCTGGAAGAAAGGCTATGGAAGGGCCAATGAAGAAAGAGAATGGACAAAACCCAGGAATCCTACAATATGTAGAATGTCTTGGTGTTATCAGGGTTATGATAAGCCTATAATTGTGTAACCTATTTATCTCAGCATAAACTTTTATGATTTCTTGTGATTTATCTTTTAACAGATTAACAAGAACTCATCATTTGAGATAGAGGAAAATCACCGCTGAGCTGATATGCTCAAAGAAATTATTCGATTGTCAATACCCACCCCCTATCTTGTCTTTTATAAAATATGTTCCTTTGAAGAATTATAGTTCTTATTCTCACAAGGGAAATTATATACATATATATATAATTGAGATTATATATTTTTTATATATATAATCTCAATCTCAATCATATATAAAACTCTGAGTTCTTTTTCTTAGTCCCTAAAAACGCTCCTTCCATAGGCTGTGTTTACATGGAGCTATCAGTTTAGCTTTCAAGCTGAATTAGCTTGTCTGTTATTAAAATAGTTTCCAAGAAATTTTAGATTTTATCATAGCATCTGAATCTATCCAAACATTTATTGTTTGAAAGACTTATGTCTTGGAACTATTCAAAACTTACTTTATTGCTTAGTGAAAATATTAGTGGTATTGACATTGACTTTCTTGAATGGGCATGAATGAAATGCCTACACAGTAATGTAGAAGTGTTTCATACAGCTATTAAAATGTAACTGACCTATTCTGAGGCAGACTAGTAACTGTTACTGCTTCGTATAGCTATGTGACAGCCTTTTAACTGACATGACTTTCTATTTGCACATTTTGGATTTCTGATCCTGTGTCTTCACCTCATTTATAGATATGTTCCTGATTTTTGGTAATATCAACTTTAAAATGGTCTATTTAGTTAAATTCTTCCCCCGTTAATCAGGAAATGCTTATTGTCTCATCAAGGAGGGAAGAAAAGCCTATTGTTTTTCATTTTACGTGAGTGTATTTTATTATTTGAGTTCTTGAATAAAAATTTTGAAAAATGGTGAGGGCACACGTGGGTGCTGCCTTGTTGCATAAAATACCAGAGAGCAGGTTAAAGACAATATCTATGTCTTTGGGAAAATTCCCAGGTAGACTACAAGGTGCCTTCAGCATGCCCTATGGGTTGTGTCTATAGCAGGAGGAATTTATTGATTTACAGGACTTCCTATTATGTAAATCATAAGGGGATGAAACTGGACATTGGTTCCACATGACCTCTGACTGATGGCTTGGAAAGTAAGCTTAATTAGAATCACATGACCATTGCAAAGGGAAAAATGTAGACACTGACTTCTGTCCCACTGAAGGATTAACGAAAACCTTTACCAGCATTTAGAACTTTTCAGAACATGCCCAATGTCATGTCTCTCAGCAGTGGAGATTGACAGTGAAGCTTTTATTTTCAGGAGCCTTTTTTAAAAAAAAGATATTGCCAAAAATCAGAGTTAAAGTATATTTAGATTCCAACTTCCTCCTTTGCCTTAAAAATAGAAGCCAAACTCACTTTTCATAAATAGGTCCAGAATGGGGCGTAAGTCCCGATCTCTGCTTGGTGATTGGCACTGCCTTGGAGGTTCAACAAGGCTCTCTATGAAAGGAGGGTACTGAGGCTGGGAGTACTAGGAAGTTGCAAACTGGGAAGAGCCAGGCCCTGAGGGCTCGGTCTACTGATTTGGAAAGACTTGAAAAAAAAGCATCTCTGAGTGTCATTGAGTAACTTTAGGATGAGCAAAACATTGGGCCACTTCCTAATGCCCTATGTTCCGTATAGCACCAGAAGCCAGGTCTCCTACTCAACAGACGCAGCTCTGTTCCAAGGTGAGTCTGAACCAATAGAAAGCAAACATGTACAGATATCCAAACAAGACCGCTCATGCAAGTCGGGGCTTGTTGCCCGTCTTAGGCAGCAGCACCAGAGCTCCAGGGAGTTTATTCAATATTTACTGAGACTTCGAAGACCCAGCAGATGTTAAATGAAGTCACTATTTTGGCTCAAACCCCTCATTTCTCCCGCCCCCCAAAAAGCAAACAGGTAAACACATAAGTGAAAGAAGCCCACAGAAGGGGATGGGAAATAAATAAAATTCTCTCAAGACTTCTCCAGGTCATGTCACTGGTCAGTGTGGTTTTTATGTGTGTTAGGATTGGGGGATGTGAAGAAATAAATATCCAGTACTTTATAACCAAAGCAATTAAAAGATACTGGGTAGGGAATGTTGGCCAGTTTTGTTTAGTTTTGCATCACATTATCGCTGGACTCACTAGCCCCAGTAACCGGGCACCCGAAGAGGGAGTCTGGGATGCGCAGGGTTTATCAGTGTGCGAATGATACCCGCTGACGAAAGAGTCATCGACTCAGTTAGTGGTTGGATGTAGTCACATTGGTTTGCCTCTCCCATCCTTGTCTCCCTAGCAAGGAGAATATTCGGGACACGATGCTAAGAGTACTGGATAAATGTGGTGAGAATGCATGTGTGTATATCTCTGCTTCTTGGTTGCAGAAAAAGAAAAGCTTTGGAGATTTATCAGTAGAAAGAGTGTTATTATATTGGTGCTGAGTGGTATGTGTGCTTTTACAATTTGTTCTTGTATTTTAATAAACTTCGAATAAAAGAATAAAGCTACTCTTTGGTTCTATTTGTTTATTTTTAAATTTCTCTCTAGACCTTGCCCCAGGCTGGAACACATTCATGGTTGACAAGGGAAAGAGAATCCATCATTCTAGTATTTATTCCTTGGTATTTGTGGGCAAAGTAGCCAGCAATGCCAGATTATTTTAATCTCATGCCGTGTGCCAGAGTCTTCAAGGAAATCAAGACAAGTTAAAAGAAAATATTCAGATACTTTCCATATTTATGAACAAGTTACACACAGAATTCATGGAAAGGGGACTGTTTAAGAGACTGTGGAGCAAACTTTATACTTTGTTAGATTTACATCTCAGGTTTTCTAAGGGCAATTAATAAACTTTCCAGGAGGTTGGTTAAAACAATACACTCACATACACACACATGCAATATACATACATATATTATTCATTATATTACTGGCAATGTATTAATGTCTAACGAAAAAATTAACATTCGAACACATTTATATCAAGCTCTTTCCCCTAAGAGAAGAAAGATATAAAGGATATGAATGTTATGTGGAGGCAGTAGCCTATTAATGACAGGGATATGTTTGCAACATGGTTAAATACGTGCATTTTGTTCCTGAAAACAGACAACTTAACCAAAGTATTAGTATTTCTTGAGACTCTGACCTTGCTCACAGTTTTCTACATATAATA